TTCACAATTTTTATTGAATCTGCAAGCTAATTCCCATTAACATCCTTTACCAAATTGGTCTGAGTGTGCCGTGGTCAGCCGTAACAGAAAGGTTACGGCTGATGAACTTAAGATCTTCATGAACTTGCCTGGTTGGCCATGCGCAGTTGTCCTTTCCCCCACCCCTTTAACTTTTCCGTCCACTCCTTGGGACTGTGTTGCCTGGTAATTGGGAAGACCACTTCTGTACAGATTTTCACCCAAGACACTTTGACTAATTCCGTCTCAGCTCGTCTTTCTAAATTCTACTTTGGATTGTGGTTGAGCCTCTGTGCGGATGGTCCGCACGGTTGTGACGTCCACGGTGGTAAGTTTTGTTTTCTTTAACATATTGTGTTGATTGTGCAGCGGACGTCGCACCAGCGTATATTTTATTAATTTCGTTTTTAATTCTTTTGTATTGTGTTTATAAATGATAATATACACTTATTTAGATTTCGTGTTCTATGTGGCTTCTTTTAATTGAAATGATCCACGCCGATTATATAAGCTCTGATGACTGGCCCATGAGGTTGATATCCTTTCTTAAAGTTATTAATGCCTCTGTACAGGTCTCTGATAATTTTTCTTTATTATTTGTCTCAAGTTCAGCAATTTTGCCCTTCAGGTATTCCCTTTTCTTATTCCTAAAGGTTCTACTAGCTTCACGTCCCACGTTACATAGATTATCCGCATTTGTTTTGCTTGGGTTCTGCAACCATTGAAATTTTGCTTGCTTCCTTCGATCTATTAATTTTGAACATTCTTCATCAAACCACGGTTTATTTTGCTTTCTCCTGTAGTATCCTAGTTTCTCTGTGGCCCAGATTTTGATGCAGTTTCTGACATTTTCCCACTCCCTGTTGATGTCCACACTTTCATAATCTTCATTTGTCTCTAAAATTTGAAATCATTCCCCTTTCCTCAGAAAAATGTGAAATTGTCCACTGGGATCGTGCCCCCCCCCTCCCATCGCACTTCCTGCACTGCCCCTAAGTCTA